GCGCCCGGGAGGCGGGGCGCCCGGGAGGCGGGGCCAGCACCACCCAGAGCCAGAGGCTGGCACAGGGCCTCAGTGATGCTCCGGTCCCAGCCTAACAGGACAGCAGTGGGACCTGCAGATCCGGGCGGGCGCGCGCCATGCCCACCAGGACCCGGGCCTCCAACTGTGGAAGTCACACCTCCCTGACGGGTTCCTGCCCTCTCCAGGGCCGGGGCTGAGGGCCTGTCCCCTGTTTGGCTATGCGTCTACTTCCATGGGACCCCAATAAGAAGCTGGCACCCCCACCCCAGGTGGTGGCGCGTGCCTTTAATCCCAGCCCTCGGGAGGCAGAGGCAGGCGGATCTCTGTGAGTTCGAGGCCAGCCTGGTCTACAGAGTGAGATCCAGGACAGCCAGGGCTGCACAGAGAAACCCTGTCTCGAAAAACAAAAAAGAAAAAACGAAGCCGGTGCCCAAAGCGCTGCCACCCTCAAAGCTCCCCAGGCTGCCCCTCATCTGCTGCCCTGGCTTCCACTCCTAGGCGCAGGAAGCCAGGAGGGAGCCCCACGGATGGGGTCCTCTGTCCACCCGTCAGGAGCGGGGACGGCCGCACAGCGCTGGGATTGGCGAGCCGGCGGCGGCTGGGGCAGGCGCGCGAACCCAGTGAGGGGAACGAGGAAAGGACCCCACACGCGCCGGCCAGCGGCTGCCCTTGGCTGGGCCCACATGCCTTGGCCCAGATGGCAGCCCTGGGTGTGGCCCTGAGGACCCAGAGACTACAAAGAGCGGGACACACACCACCACCTCAGCTCTCACTGCCCCATGGAGGCCAGCCTGGGCTACCAACAAAACACAGAGCTGGGGCTGCAGGTCAGTGATTAACACTGGTCTGGGGGCGTGGTCACGGTGGAGCTCCGCCCAGAATCCTCCAGTAAGGGGCTGGGGGCGTGGTCAGGGTGGAGCCCCGCCCAGAATCCTCCAGTAAGGGGCTGGGGGCGTGGTGAGGGTGGAACCCCGCCCAGAATCCCCAGTGAGGGGCTGGGGGCGTGGTCAGAGTGGAGCTCCACCTAGAATCCCCCAGTGAGGGGCTGGGGGCGTGGTCAGGGTGGAGCCCCGCCCAGAATCCCCAGTGAGGGGCTGGGGGCGTGGTCAGGGTGGAGCCCCGCTCAGAATCCCCAGTGAGGGGCTGGGGGCGTGTCCCCCAAATCCCCTCCAACCCATTCCACATCTGCAAAGACTGAGGCTCAGGCTGGCCCGGGTTCCCTGCTGCTCTGGTCGGGTGCGGAACATCTTTTGTGCCCGGGGGTGAACACGGGGACACCCGTGACCTGTGACCCTGACCAAGGCTGGGCACAGCCGGGCAGAGGCCTCTCCCCGCCCGTTCGTGCGGCCTTTCCGTGATTAACGACTGCGGGCGGGGCCGCCCTAGGGTGCTGGTGCTGGGTGCTCCGAGAGAGCGGGGTGAGGGAGCCGCGGGGGGCGGGCGGGTCCGGGGCCCCTGCGCGATGGCTACGGCTGGGGGATTAAAATAAACCTTTCCCCTCGGGCACTGGGGGCGGGAGGCTGGACCAGGTGTGCACACCCGGGAGTCCAGGTACACAGCACACACCCGTGCACCCCGCTGGAGCAGGATTGGGGTCTGTGTGCGTGCGTGTGCGTGTGCGTGTGTGTGGACCCCGCCGGTGTGCGTGTGTGTGCGTGTGCGTGTGTGTGTGTGTGGACCCCGCCGGTGTGCGTGTGTGTGCGTGTGCGTGTGCGTGTGCGTGTGTGTGCGTGTGTGTGTGCGTGTGTGTGGACCCCGCCGGTGTGCGTGTGTGTGCAGGTGTGTGTGTGTACCCCACCGGTGTCTGTGTGTGTGCGTGTGTGGACCCCGCCGGTGTGTGTGCTGTGCGTGTGTGGACCCCGCAGGTGTGCGTGTGTGTGTGGACCCCTCTGGTGTGTGCGTGTGTGGACTCAGGGCCAGCCTTGCTGTGGCCACCAATGACCCCAAATCTGGGTCCCAGTCGCACCGCAGGTGTGGACTGCGCCCCGCGCCCCGGATCTGGGTCTGCACCACCCAGTGCTGTTCACACCACTCCCCGGGACCCGGGTCCGGACAAAGGACCACGGACCCCCTTCTCGGTCCACACCGACTCTGCACAGACCTGGTCCCTGCACAGTCAGGGGCGGCCGTGGGGAGGGAGACTCGCGGAAAGCGGCCCCGGGGAGGGGGGGCGCCCACACAAAGGGGCGGCCGCCTCCTCCAGGGCTCGCCCTGGCCACGCGCCCCTAGGCCCGGCGCGGTCCATTCATTCCCAGCCGGCGTGGGACAGGTCCACGGACAAAGAGCCCCGGAGACCCGGGCGCTGCCCCACCCACCCGGGGCCGGGGGAGGTGGCCCTGAGTGTCCACGCCCGCTGGAGGGTGACGGCCACCTTGCAATTCAAACCACCGCCGCCGCCACCACCCTGCACGGGCTACATGGAGGGTCTGGGGATGCCCGAGCCCCGCCCTAAAGTTCCCACGACAAGGCGGATCCCCCTCACGGGGAGGGGGTGCCGGGGCAGGCACCTGTGGGTGCGCAAGGCAGGGGAAAGTTGGGGACCACGGCTACCCAGCCCTGTGGGTGTGTGAGGCCAGGCACTGCCCACCAGGCTCGCGCCCGCCCCAGCAGCTCAAGGGCCAATGAGCAGCGGCTGGCCTGATGTCACCGTGCGAATCTCAGCCTGGCTTTCGAACAAAGAGAACAATGGGAGGGCAACAGAGACACTCCCCAGCCTCACCGCGCTGCGGCAGGGACCCCCGGACCCCGGGGAGCGTGGATCCCTACACCCTAGGCCTGCCCGGGGTCAGCATGTCAAGATGGGCTGGGGGGGGGGGAGGTGCACCCCACTGGAGAGCGGCCGCCAGCAGGGTCCTCCTATAAACCCCAGATTCTCAAGCTCGGGGCACGGCCTAGGGCCAGAGTCCTTTTCTCAGACGACAGCACCCTGGTCTGGACCCCCAGGGGGCTGAGGGAGGCACCCGCTAGGGACACTTCCCTCCCCACCCTCCGGCCGTCCTCCCCGGGCTACCGAATCTGGGCCGGCCCCGCCCCGCGCCCACGGCGGTGATGGGGAGCACCCCCGCTGAGCCCCGGCTGCCGCTTCTGAGGGGCCTGCCTGCGTCTCAGGGGGTCCCCGGGTGCTGGCACGGGGGCTGTGGTTGTCCCCAGGAGCCCAGACAAAGGCGGCGGCAGTGGCCACAGCCTGGGCTGTGCCCAACTTCTACAGCAGCCGGCGGCTTTGAACAAAGGCGCCAAGGAATCCGCCGGGGCCCAGAGCCCACGCGGGGCGTGTCCCGGGGTCTCCCGGTCACATCCACACAGGGGTAGAAGGAGCCGGAGCTGGTTCCCTCCCCCCAAACACACACCCACCCCCGACATCGACCCACGAGCATAAGCAGCGGCCCTGCCCCCCGACGGCAGCCACTCACCCTGACGACCCACGATCTCCGCGACATGCTCCGAGCTGGGCACCGGCACACACTCGGTCATGTTCACGCTCTTCTTGCGACTGCCGATCACGTTCAGCTGCTCGGCCAGCAGCGTCGAGGGACCCAGGGCGGCCGGGTGCGGGGCGAAGCTGGCGAACACGTCTGGGGGAGACGGCCGGGGGCTCACGTCGGGGTCCAGAAGAGGCAGCCCGCCGGGGGCTACCGAGGAAGCCACGGCCATCGCGGGGGCCAGGGTCACCGAGTGTCCCACAGTCACTGGGGGTGCCACGGTCACCGAGGGTGTCAGGGCCATCGAAGGTGCCACGGTCACCGAGGGTGCCACGGCCATGCAGGGTGCACAGGTCACCGAGGGTCCCACGGCCATCGAGGGTGCACTGGTCACCGACGGTGCCAGGGCCATCGAGGGTGCACCGGTCACCGAGGGTGCCAGGGCCATCGAGGGTGCGCCGGTCATCACCGAGGGTGCCAGGGCCATCGAGGGGGCGCCGGTCATCGAGGGTCCCACGCCCATCGAGGGCGCGCCAGGCACCGGGGGCGCCGCGGCCGTCTCGAGCTCGTCGGGGGGCGCGG